CTCGATCTCGGCCCGCATGGCCTCGAGCGGCAGGTCTGGCCGCAGGGCTGGGCGGCCGAGCTCCGCCTGCCCCACAGGGTCCGTCCGCGTGCCTCGTCGTCGTCGTCGTCGTCGTCCTCGTCGTCGTCGTCGTCGTGGAAGTCGGGTCGTCGTCGTCGTCGTCGTCGTCTTCTTCTTCTCCTCCTCCTCCTCCTCCTCCTCCTCCTTGTCCTCGTCCTCTCCCCCCCCTCCTCCCTCCCTCTCTCCTCTTCCCTTTGCTCCTCCTCCTCCTCCTCGTCCTCGTCCTCTCTCCTCCAACTCCTTCTCCTCCCTCCCTCACTCCCTCCCTATCGCCTGCTTCTCCTTCTCTTCGTCGTCCTCCCCGTTCTTCTCCTCCCTCCTCCTCCTCGTCCTCCTTCCTCCTTCCTCCTTCCTCCTCCCTCCTCCCCGCTCCCTCCTCCTGCATTTTCTCTCCTCATTGCGCCTCTTCGCCCCTTTCTCGTTCTTTTCCTCTATTCTTTACCCATTCTCGTTAGAAGTAGCTTCTCCCTCTCGTGCCCCCAGACGTGTCGGTTGGGCGGGCCGGATGCTTTGCCCGAGATGTCCTCACCATGTGTGACCTTCAAGCTTGAGAGACTTACAGCAGTTGCAGGGATGGAGGGCGGCTTGTTTTCAATATGTGGCTCTCGCATTAGCGCCGCGAACACTTGTCTTCAACATCTGCAACAGTGTCAAACAAGGAAGGCGGCTCCTTTTCAAAATGTGGCTCTCGCCGCAGCGCCGCGCGAATTCGTCTCAAAAGTTTGCAGCACTTTCTAGGCTTCGTAGGATTGAGGTCCACGGGACTGTGTTCTAGCACGATTCAGACTTGTCAGGACGCAACAGTCACGTTGAAATCGCAGGGATGGTGTTGTGGATCGAGTGAGGGTTATCAGACGGCTGATTTGGAACGGGCCATTTCCCGCGATGAACAACATGTCTTGTAGGGGCCTATGAAGAGGGACTTTGGAGGGAGGGTGTCTTGCAACATAGTTGATGCGTCTCGTGTTTGCAGTGGTCTTTCCCCCTCCCCCTTCCCCTCCTCATCCCCCTCCTCATCATTGTCGTCGTCGTCCTCTTCCTGGTCCCGATCCTGGTTCAGTTCCCCCTCCTCTTTCTCCCTCTTCCTCTCCGTCTCCCCTCCTGTTCCTCCCTCCTGCTCCTCCTCCTCACCATTATTCTCCTTCTCCTTCCTCCTCTTCCTCCGCCTCCTCCTCCTTCCTTTCTCTGTCTTCATGCCATGGGGGCGCATGCTCCGTGGTGCCATGATGCCAAAGTATGAGCAAAGCGGCCTGGTAGACTGAATCCTATGCATATGTATTCTATATAAGCCTCACCCTGTGTTACGGACGACACAACAAGGTAGATATGTTAGAATTGTGTGGAGGAAGTGGAGGCATCTCTCAACTGGCATTCAGCCGAGGTCTGTCTTCAGGGGGGAAAACCTCGACAAACGCATCTTTGTTGACCTTGGCAACAAGGATGTCCAAGATGCAGTGATGCACTATCTAGACGTTTGTTTCGCCAGGGTTGTCATACTACAGCCCAGCTGCAGAATAACTGATTTACTCTCCTATTTCAATGCAAAGGTTAACTACGACACTGGGCATTAACATCATAAAGAAGATTTGCCACATATCAAATTCTGTGGGAAGGTGTTTGTACGTCAAAACGACCTTCGACGATTCTACTTTCGAGAACAACCGGTGGGGACTTGGGTGGATCAGATACCACCATGGACTACGTTGGCCAAAAGCGAAGGCACTTGCAAGGTGAACGTGGATCAATGCACTACTGGCCTACGTGACTCCCATGGGGTACCGATACGAAAGCCGACTGAGATTATGGCCACCCATCGTCTTTTACTCACCCCTTTTGAACGAAAGCGATGTCCTGGCCATCGTCATCACGCGTCGGTATGTAACAAGGAACTGTCCATGGCTGCACAACATACTCCAAAGATGCAATCACTCTTCGTCGAGGCTGTTCAAATCGCGCACGATCTCTTCCAGGTAACTCGTGATCCTTTCCATGGCTACCCGTATTCGTCCACCGTGCTGGTCACTAACGTAAGGGGATGCGACTTGGATGACCCGAGTCCCCCTCGACAACCTGATGGCTGGATTACGAGACCGCCATCGGGAGGGCTCGGGTGTCCTGCGTGCGCGGACAACGTTAACCTGCACTCTCCCTCTTATGATAGAGATCCGAGACGCTGGAGGTGGTGCGATAAGGACGAGTAGCACTGGGAATGTCCGAGCTGTAAGAAGAACCATGGGAAGAACAAGCCTAAACACGTACTAACACCTGGCAAATGCAAGTCTGCCAAGCCTTGGAAGCTGCCCGACAATCATGGACAGATACCGCCAGTTCCTTCCGAACCGGCAGCAGGACCTGCACCGCCAGCTCCTGCTGAGTTAGCAGCACCGCCGCCCGAGGCGCCAGCCGCATCATCACTTACGCGGCTGAGAGCACCGAGACCCGGCTCCAAAGACGGACCTACAGCGGGCGCAAGCAGTCGCGACATTACTGTAGGAAGACATGCTGCTGAACCAAATGCAGGGCAACCTGCCTCGAGTGGAGCTGGTAGCTCGGATGACCATCTCCGACTACCAAAGGTTAGAGTCAAACGTGGTCGACAAAAAGGTGGAGAAGCACCTCCACCACCACCAGCGGGGAACCCTGCTGCACGACCACGACTACCAGACTGGTCACGGTTCGATGTACAAATCAATCTACAAAATTAGCGACGCCTTGACCCCAGCGTGGTAACACGCGAGTTGCGGAAGCTACCCTTGCGTTGGTTCCAGGTGAAAGAGCCCAAGATAAGACTCATCTCAAGCAAAATAAGCCTGGACAATGTCAGACTCAACCTGATTAAAGGTGTCTGCGACACATGCCGAGAGTGCAGAGCTTGGGACAAGCCTGGGCACACTGTTATGCCCTCTACTGCGCTACCTGGTAAATTTAATGAGGAAAGGGAATGTGATCTGATGTTCTACAAACAAGAACACCAAATCTTCCATATCATCGATCGCTGTATACAATATGCTGCCGTGTTTGAGATACCAAACGAGACTATGACCGGTATCCTGGATGCATATCATCAGTGCTGGATGCAGTTTGGACCGGCCAAGGTACTCTACTCTGATAGAGAAGGTGCCCTCAGCAAGACGGCGAAAACAGTCCTCAAGGCAAAATGCACTAAACTTAGGGTACGTGCGCGTGGACAGCACGCTACAACGATCGAGGCCAAAAATGTCATCCTACGCCATCTACTTCACGTCATGGAGGCTGAACTCAATAGGTTAGATATACCCCTTGTGTTCACCCGACTACTGCATGAAACCCTGTTCGCCGCCAGTGCGTTCACCTTCTATAACGAAGTGTCTCCATATAATGCTCTGTTTGGACGGCAACCAGCTATCCTCCCTGACCTACCTGTCTTAGACCACGAGCAACCGACGGAAACGTCGGACCACTCTCGTGAACAGACGATACGCAGGGCATGTATTGAAGCTATCACACAGGCCACAGCAGTAGCGAAGACCAATCGTGCCTTACGCACTAAAGCGACTATTAAAAACAACAACAAAAATGGCACCTGGACCTTGATTCCCATGACTCGTTTCACACTAGAAAGGGCAGCTAAAATGGCCTTGGGCGAATGGCAGCTGGACTGAGATGAGTGCCCAACCTTCCATGCCCAACCAACCCCCCGAGTAGAGCTCACTATGGTTCGGCTGGACAAAACACAGGGCAACATCGTATGCGGGATGTCCTACTCTCGCTGCGTATGTGAACACTTGCTTTTCGTGAGCTCCGCAAGTCACGCCTCGGGGCAGCATCCACTTCGCAATGTTCAGGCCGAAGTCTCTCACATCCCATGGGCCGCCAGTTTGAAAGGGGCTGGTAGGCCCAGCCAGCGGCTTCACCTCAGGCGAAGCCAAGCTCCCGTTCTGTTGTGCCGTAGTAACGGTAGTCCCAGTATGAGAGGATGTGCCATCTCAAGCAGTATGGAGATCCTTTTGGTCTCGATAGCGATTGCGTGCCTCGCAGTGAGGCACGGTCATATCTGGGCGGCCGGCCGCTTGAGCCGACGCGGCCGCGGGCGCGCGCTCGCTTCCACTCCTTGCGTCCCTCAGCCTGCTTTAGAGTCGGGGGGGGGGGCAGGCGTGAGCCCGTCGCCCCTGCACAGCAGGCGCAGCAGCTAACATACACAAGGACAGAAGAGGAAGCGGGCCAAAAGGAAGGTGGACCCGCTCGCAAGTTGCCTCGCTTGTGCAGTTCTGTACGCGACGTACTCATCAGGCGGCGTCAGAACTTGACGTCTGGCCAGCCCGATATGGAGTATGTCTCTTCAGGTCATGTTTGAAGGTCTGTAGACCTCCCATGACTTGTAGGAGCATTTCTCTGCCTATGCTCCCCTTCGTGCGGCCATCCGCAGTCGTATCGCGGGTGTCGCACCACGGGATGCTGTGCGCGATTCCACGCTCCATCATCTGTCGTATCCAACTGATGTGTCCTGAAGGGGTACACTCAGTCGGCTTCTTCAAAACTTTGCTTGACAAGGACTTAAACCATACTCAGCACCGGTCGTCAAGGTGACCTTGATGCTCAGGCCACCCAACTCCAGTATATCTTTCAACTGAGTGGGCGTGAGCGGCCCTGCGTGGAACTCGTGCAAAGTCACAATCGTGGGATAACAGTCCTCCAAATTATGGGCTGCTGCTGGTGTCTCTGCTGAATAGCTCGAGCGGACCTGCAAGCGGTGAGTCTTGCAGTGCGCATCGATCAAGTGAACGGCAGGCTTACTGGATGACGTGTTTCCACGTCGTAGCAGGTTTGCCCCGCGAATACCGTAGCCTTTGACGTCGTCATCGGCGCCTCCACTCAGGCGTCGATATCCTGAGTCGCTATGCAGGTCGACCTCGCCCGTAGGATTCATCGCCTGGTAGACGATCTTCTTCGGGCAGGCCTGTAACTTCCAGGTGATCGCGATCAGTCGTCGCACGTGAATGTTGGTCGGTACTTGGACGCGTTGTAGA